CAGTATAAATGGTTCTGAAACGAGAAAGGCTGGTGGATGGGTGAGGATAGTTAGAAAAGTATCCCAACGCTGCCAATATCACGTGCCAGTATATTTTTAGGTATTTCCATTCAGGAAATATATTACCAACCCTCTTGCTGGTCTTCAAAACCAACCAATGTACGGAGTATCATTGAATAGGATGGTTCCAGCCACAAGAGACTCGTTAAATGCATGTAATATATCATGGAGCGTGAGGTATTTCCATACGAGTGCCATTCAATTGGCCGGCTGCGATATGTTACGGTTGGCATCAACCTTACCGCAAATTATGGGCTGCAGACTCTCCAATATTACAGTACATGACAATACCGAGTACCCCCTTTCCATCTTGCCCCATCCAGCCCAACCACCACCAACCTGCCTGCGCTGGCGTTGAACCGCCTTCACCCCTTCTCTCCCTCTTCCTCCTCCTTAATCTTCGCTTTCCCTGTTGCTTTTGGGGTCCTTGGTCTTCGTGTCTGCCCTGTTGCGATCAGTATCGTCTTCGAGTCGGTTGAGCTGGTTCCTTGCCCCTACCTTTTTTCCCTTTGCAATTCGCTTGTACCAACCAGCCTAGGTTCGACCTCACAGCCTTTGAAGCCCATGGTCCCCGAAATCTGGACTATTCCTCCTTGGGCTCCCTGCTCTGTCCCTAGCCTTGGCTTGCTTTTGTCCGTGGCATCCTCCAACCTGCCGTCCCCTCGTCCGACTCTGTCTCACTTGCATCCATTTCTTGCTGGAACACTCGAGGAGATCGCCTTAGGGGTCTGTTGGTATAACACTTGGATGAGTTTATACTGTACAGCATTCCTGTACACCACATTCTCCTAGCGCGTGGATGCGAGTTTGCGGAAACTTCGTCCACAGAGGCTTATATAGTTTCAATTCCTGGAGTCTATTGCCGGCATTGACAGGCCAAGAATTCCTGTGAAGGCGATTGCAGAGCTGTCTATTTTGTGGATATATTTGTCGCCAGTTCCTAGCGCTGAATGAAGCTAGCCTTCATCTTTCCCTATCTCCGTATAAGGCAAACAAGTTCAGACTTGGGAAGAAAAGCTCGGACGTCCCCTTCTTGACAGTCTTTGACCCGACTTGTAAGTGACGGTGGTGGTTTTCGAGAATAGCGTTCGTCTTTCGGCCTCTCCAGGCGTGTATTACAGCGGCAAATATTTGTCCTCGTTCGCTTTTGGACTACAGAGACCAACGCAACCTTATTCCCCCTCCTGCGGAATTAGCTTTCCCGAACCTCCTCATGACGACTTCACCCAATGGCCCAGGGTCCAGTGAGTTATTCTATTTAATCTATTTGCCCTGTCTTGAATGTATATTGTTGCTGACCAATCGTCCTTTAAGACTCTGCCTTGCCTGTTCTTAACGATGCAACTTCCAAAAGTCTGTCGCCAACTGATCGGTCCATTAACGACGCCCCTCTAGAGCGACGCTCATCGCATACGAACTCAATTCAAGGGTCATCTGACAATACTGAACGGCCAAAGAAAAAGCGATCTTTTCTTCGCGTCCCCTCGCGATCATCTTCCAATGCAAAACAACGAGGGCAGCTTACCGCTCAAGAAAGGCAACAAGACGGCACTGAAAGCAATACTGGAAGTAAAAAAGGGGCTGGAAGTATGGCAAGCAGCAAGCGATCCAGGCACACCGACGCCCCTACTGCTACAGATATCAACCCTAAGGTGTCCACAACCGATGCGGATGATCAGCCTAAGGAAAGGTTGGCAAAAGGGCCACCGAAGTTGTTTTCATTCCTCAGTTGCTGTGGCGGCGCGTCGAACGAAGATCAGGAAGACCCTGGAATCCCCCCAAAAAGATCCGTAAAACCACAGTCGTCGCACGGCAGGCAGCCAACGCCAGTCGAGAAGACAGAACCCAGCGCTGCAGATTCGAGCACATCGGATTCTAGAGAACCGGCCTCTTTTGATGAAAAGTTTGCGCTGCAAGCGAATGCGGACCGGAAGGATTCTCACATTAACGATGATGTGCCGGTAGCGCCCGTGGAAACTCCTTCGGATAGCATGGTTAAAAGGGATCTTTTTGATAAAGATTTAAACACCCTTGCCCCATCCAACTCAGGATCTGGCTCTGGCTCAGCTTCGGGTTCCAGGAGTTATACAGGTCGAGATACTGATTTACTGCCAATTCCTGTATCGGAGAAACTGACCCCGTCAAACACACCCAGCGCTTCGGGTGAGCAAACAGCCACGGACGCGGTCTCAAAACAACCCAATGGCGATCAAGATGTCTCCATGCAAAATTCGCAGTCCGCAGAAAGTTACATAGACGAAGATGTGGATACTCCGCTCCAAGACAGAACCGGGCAACAAGCGATGATTCCCCCTCCACCCCCGTTAGATCACAATGCAGAATCGTCAAACAAGTACATCCCATCTGTTCCTCCCCTTCAACCAGAGAACCAGCAATGGTTATTACCTCCCGTTGAACCACACCTTCAGAGCCGCAAGTGCCTTGTCCTTGACCTTGACGAAACACTTGTCCACAGCAGTTTCAAAGTAAGAAAAATGTCTTCGTTGAGTTTGGATGATATCATTTTTGCGAATATACTAACGGAAATGGTTTTTTAAGGTTCTTGAGAAAGCTGATTTCACCATTCCAGTGGAAATCGAGGGGCAATATCATAATATCTATGTAATCAAGCGTCCCGGCGTTGATCAGTTTATGAAACGAGTAGGAGAACTCTACGAAGTTGTCGTTTTTACAGCATCTGTATCAAAGGTTTGTCAAAAACTGGTCTTCACGAGAAATGACAACAGGAGAAACTAACATTATTTGACTGTTGCAGTATGGCGATCCTCTATTAGACCAGCTAGATATCCATAAAGTCATTCATCATCGGTTATTTAGAGACAGCTGCTATAATCATCAGGGAAACTATGTTAAAGTATATACCTCACGCACTGCCTCTTTCATAGACTATTAACTTACTCTTTGCGGTGATACCTAGGATCTTTCTCAAGTTGGCCGTGACCTCCGAGATACCATCATCATCGACAATTCTCCAACATCTTACGTTTTCCATCCTCAGCATGCGATTCCAATTAGTAGTTGGTTTTCGGACGCACACGATAACGAACTGTTAGATCTTATTCCCGTCCTCGAGGATTTAGCCAGTTCTCAAGTTCGGGATGTAAGTCTTGTTTTGAATGTGGCGTTATAGCGACCGCGTGGACGTGGTCTTTGACAGCTTGCCTGTTCGCTATTTATATCACGACTTGCCAGATGTTTTCCGCAATATTTCAACATTTTTCCACGGAGTATCAGGAGATATGTTCTCTTGGCCTGGAAATATGTCACGCCAAGCGCAAAGATCATGGTTCGTGCCTGCATGTGTTGCACTGCTGCTCTCATATTGCTAAGGACGGCTCCGAATGCTGCAGAAATGAGAGAAAAAAGCCACGAAATACCTTCGCTCGACCACAGCATTCAAAGGAAGAGTGGGCAAAATAACATGCATGTCTATTTTTGCTTGGCACCGGCTCCACCATCTCCCATCCGGCCGGATTGTATCCTAGGGCTGTCCCTTTTTCTCCCCTTTCGTAATCATCCCCCATTTCACCGCCTCTATACAGCTTTGATTGCAAACCCTTGAACGTGCCCAATCATTCCCTCCAAGTGAGCGTTTCATTTTCCCTTCAAGCATTTCCTTGCCGTTGCATCAACCAGGCGTTTTGTCTGCTCCATATCCGCAGATCATAAAAAAAAAGAAAATGTCCTTGCTGAGTATATGTGTCCATTCCCATGCTTGTTTTTGCCCAAGTGGCTTTTCACACACAACACATACCCATACACACTGCTACCATGCATCTGCTTTCCTATGTCTCTATCCCATCATCCCATATGTTATCATTCTCCTTTGTCCTTTTATTTTCAATGATCCGGTCATCGTATCACATATCTCCACTGTGTTTCCGTATTTGAAGCAGCGATTTTGCTATTGTTTCCTTTTGAAAGATATCACACAAAGCAACTGATTTGCGGGTCGTTATTTATTCGTAATACTTTCTCTTCCTATTTTCCTTCTGATATTTCCCCTGTCATTCCCATTTCCTTTTGATTTAACATCTATTGCTATTGCCATATTGTTTATTTTCACTTGCAGGTCAAAATTCTGCTGTTACATTATTTCAGCCCCTTTTTTTTCTGGATAGTGTAATTCTCTCATTTTTCCCTTTTGTGTTTTGTTATGGTTTTGTAAGGCAACCACAAACCACTCCTCAATTATCCCCAACTTCCATCCCCCCTTGCTCCATTGCGGTTTCTGACCAAAATCAAGGGCATAAAAATTCGATACGAAAATCTCTCCAGCAAGCCCCACCCCAACCCCTTGCCATGTTATACCTAATTCACTAAAAACAAAAACAACGAGCTTATATTGCTATTTTAGTCACGTACATAAACTTCCCACCTACTAGGAACCTATCTAATTATTATACCATCCACAGTTACAGAATTGCCGCATTCCATAGCTTTTGACCATGTCCGTCATTCATCTTCTCTCATTTGCAACCATAGGTTCTTTCAATTATTGTGCATGCTTGGAGATAAACGCTTTTGTACCCTCTTTCTCTCCAGAAATTCTTCAGTCGGTATGCAATCACGTTATAGCCCAGGAATGGAAGAAGAGTACCAGTAACTACCAGTAGGCAATAATAAGAATACAGGGGAAATCTAGGGGAAATGCAGTCTCCTACTCTGCTCTGATATGAGGGTATAAGAGAGGATAATTGACTCATTCCTCCAGCCAATGTGGGAAAATAAGTTCCATCGTGTAAAACTCGATGCACCTGGCGATGTATCAGGTGGTGTTAGGTGAGATGGCCCCTGCCGAGCTTCGATCCACTTGTGACATCATTTCACCAAACATACGGCAGCCTATAGTGACAAATGTGTCAAATGGGTTTTTTATACTAGTGTTACAATGTACTGTACACACACCTTTCATATTCATTTTATTTGTAATTGAATAGAGCTTGTTGATTATAATTTATTAGAAAGCAATGCATTGCTAGATATCATCTTCAATATATATCATCACTGTGATACGATAGCACTATAATCACTAGATTATTTATAGTGAAAAGTCAACATAACCATTCGTTAAATGGTTGTGCTCATAGTGATGCATATACCCATGGGTGTGGTGGTGTGGCGATAATATCTCGTGATGATATCTAGCAATGATATCTAGCGATAATATCTAGTGATGATATATAATAATGATATCTAGTGATGATATCAATGACATAAATTCACTGTTTTAAAATGTGTACTTATAGAGAATTCAAGGTGCATTGCTCTCTAATATAAATTTCTATCAATGAGTGTCTGTAAGTGGAATTAAGTAATTACAGTGGAAAACATCAAAAAACCCCATTTGACACATCTGTCACTATAGGCTGCCGTAAAACCGTCTCTCTCGTGTCGTGATAAAACTACATTTGAGCGTATTATTGTCTCCAGAGCTTCTTTCCTCTTCGCCTTCCTGAACGTCAGACCATCTTCCCAGCCCGCGCGCAACAGCTAGTTACGTGACCAAAGCGCATCCGGAGTCCCGAGTCTCAACTCTAACCCCAAGCCCGGCTACAAATACCGAGATGAAAGACTGTAGTGCGGCGATGAAGGATGGTAAAGGCCGGGATGGCAAGCTTCGGGTCGAGCGCCATGCCGTGCTTGCGAATCCCGAAGCTCTCGAAGACCAAGACCATTCAGATGAAAATGGCCCACCCCCGGAAACGATAGAGGCTGATGAGGGTACTTTGCTCCCCGCACTTTCTATATATCCAGGCACATCACCTTATTTTCATGTGGCTTCAAGTACCTCTCTTTTACAGTTTTGCATACCACAAGGGCTAATGTATATGTCTTTGCTTTCTCTTTAGACCTGCTCTCGGATTTGGCTGACGATGTTGAGGTGCGTGGGCGGAAGGCTCCCTTGCGGATGGTCGCGTATCTTATCTCACGACCTTTTCGTTTCTCCCTTCTGAGAGACAAATCCGTGGGAGACGAGCGATTGCTGACACAGATTATAGGACATCGATCTGGTTAATTGCCGTATATCGTCTCTTCCAGCACTTCATCTAGAACGATTCACGCATCTGGAGGTACCCTTTCCCTGCCCCGCACCCCCCCAAATATATCCAAGTTTGTATCCCCTCCCGGCTGACAAGTCATTCAATCGGGAATAAAAATAATTCAGAAGCTCTGCCTCCGACAGAACCAAATATCTCAAATCAATTTTCCAGAAAACCTCGGCCCAACCCTTACCGATTTAGATCTCTACGACAATTTGATCACGCGTATTAAAGGACTAGATGCCCTCACAAAGCTCACCAACCTGGATATTAGTTTCAACAAAATCAAACATATCAAGAATATCTCGCACTTGGTACACTTGAAGGACCTATACTTTGTGCAGAATCGAATACAAAAGATTGAGGGGTTGGATGGACTGAAGGCGTTGAGAAATTTGGAGCTTGCGGCCAATAGGATTAGGGTATGTAGTGGGATTTTCTCGTGTTACAATTCTTCCTTGGCTAGACTGGTGTGAAGAGCCGTACTTATGAATATAATTTTAGGAGATTGAGAATCTGGATGACCTCACTGCTCTAGAAGAACTGTGGTTAGGAAAGAATAAGATCACCGAAATCAAGGTATGCGAATGATCCGCTTCATTTCCTCAACAGCGTTCAATAGGCTCCGTCTTCAAAACATGAGAGCATGCAATCAATCATGCATTTTCTCACCGTTTTAAATCCAACATCATACAGAACATCGATGCCCTTACCAACCTGAAAATCATCTCTCTCCCTTCAAACCGCCTGACAACCATCTCTGGCCTCTCAAATCTCCATAATCTCGAAGAGCTCTATGTCTCTCACAATGCTCTCACCGCTATATCCGGTCTAGAAAATAACGCCAACCTCCGCGTCCTCGACATCTCCAGCAATCAAATAAGTAAACTAGAAAATATTTCGCATCTCTCCCATCTCGAAGAGTTCTGGGCTTCCAACAACCAGCTTGCTAGCTTCGATGAAGTCGAGCGTGAGTTGGGAGATAAAAAGGAGCTGAAGACAGTATATTTTGAGGGGAATCCTTTGCAAACGGCCTCATCGGTGCTCTATAGGAATAAAGTCCGGCTGGCATTGCCGCAGATTCAACAAATTGATGCGAGTAAGTTTTTATTGGTTTTGTCCTTTATCTAGTTTGTTTAGTAATTACTACATTGTGAGCGTGCTTCGTGAAATGAAATGCCGATTTGGCTAACAAATTCCGGGATTT